TATGTTTCTGCACTTTATGAAGAGTTTTGTACGATCCAATGTTCCTGCCTCATGTTTGCTGTTTTTAAAATGTTTTTCTAAGCTAAAGTTTATAAACTTAAAGTTCCTGCCTCGTCTGCTGTTTTTAAATGTTTTTCTGTTATTTATAAAGTTAAAGTTTACTGTTTAAAATGTTTGAAATCATAAAGTGCACTTAATAAACCCTTTGTTAACCAAATTTGACTTTGTTCTGACTCTTTTTTAATTTATTGTTGTATTTCCCCCCCCACTGAGATGCACTGAATAGGTTTCAATGCATTTCAATTGGGGAACTGCGTTTCGCTTAGTGATGTTTCCTATGGTGATTTTCACTTAAGGACGGCAATTTGTTCCTATTGGAACGGATTATCCGGTTTTCAATGCATTTCAATGGGAAACTGCGTTTCGCTTAGCGATGAAATCGCTTAGCAGCGATTTTTTTTGAATGAATTAACATTGCTAAGCGAGGCACCACTGTATTATTCTGTTATACAAACGTGCACTCTTGAAAAATCACCTTATTTTCATCAGAGCAAATCTGGCTATCTTCAAACAACATTTCATAAAGATCCTATATGGGACAGCAAGGCATGCTCTTTTTCACCTCTTTTTTGGTAACCCTCATATAAACTGGCTCATTATGATGTCAGTAGGGCGGATAGGATAGAGTGGGACAGTTTCCTGCCTACAGAGACCCGACCACTTCACGGCTAGGCAGGAAGGAGATTTCCAGCTTCTACTCCCATGTTCTTAAATATTTGTTGCTTCCGTAGATAATCCTTCACTATATATATTAAAAATCAAAAGCACACAGTAGCACACCAAGTGCTATGACTGATTGATTCAGTTATATCTTACATTTTCTCCAAGGAGCTCAAAATGTAATTCTTCTGCCCATTTTTATATCTGTGACAGCTTTCAACTCATGACTGGTATGTCAATCAGTGAACTTTATGACTTAGTGGAAATTTCAAATTAAACTTCCCATCCTAAGACCAACACTGTGATCACACATCACACTGATAACATTCCTAGAGATGTCCTCCTCACCACACTGTGAAACAATCACAGACGTTTGCACAAACTTTAGCTAATGTAATTTGTTGTAGAAGCTTAAAAACAAAAACAACATATTTGTTATATAATACCAGTCAATGTTTTGATAATTTTGATTGACTTTGCCTAGTGTTTTTGAACAACTACCACCACCACCACTACCACCTTTGAACTGTAGAGCTGGAAGTGACCCTATGGATCATTGAGCCCAGTACAGTGGTGCCCCGCACAGCGAGGTTAATCCGTTCCGGATTAACCTTCGCTGTGGGAAACATCGCACTACGGAACACAAAAAGGCATTGGAACGCATTAAACAGCGTTTAATGCATTCCAATGCCATAGAATACTCACCGTTGTGCAATGTTTCCCAGGGGCCGGCAGCCATTTTCGCGCCCTCCCCTCGCACAAGGAGGGCGCCAAAATGCCTGCCATCAGCTGTCTGGCGGGTC